ACCCAACAAACTAAAGTTATTTTTAACTTACAACTACCACTGATAAGCATTTTTCACCAAAAAAAAAAAAAAGCCCCTTTCAGAAAGAGAAACTATGAAAAAACAAAACACCCATTGCACTTTAGTGAGAAGCAATGGTCTCTCAGCCAATGCTATAAACGAATGTCAATTTAGTTTAGAAGCAACAAAATGCTTTATATTTACAATTCTTTTCACAGTCCTTTCTACAAACAATTTCTATCAACAGTCTTATGAGGAAGTAGACAGGCTAAATTTGTGTTGTGTGTATCTTTGAAGATATAGTCTCCACATTTTCTACAGAATAAGGCTCACTTCCATAACTCAAGTGTAATAAATAGTAACTAATAAAATGCAAGGAATTATTTCATTATACTTGTACTCCCATACACACATTTGTCCCACATCTGGAAATTTATTGGATGAGCTATGCTCTGTGCTCTCAAACTTACAGTTTGATGGGGAAGGTGGACATGGCTTAACCAAGTAAAAAATGGAGGTGCAAACACTGCATAAAGATAAGGCCAAGAAAAAGCCATTGGCATTGGCACTGTTAGAAGTTTTTCATATTATTATCTCAATAAATCCTCAAACATCCTTTGAGGTAGGTACTATTATTCCCATTTTACAAATGAATGGAAACATGGTATAGAGATATTAAGTAATTTGCCCAAGATCACACAGCTTTTTAAGTGGGGAATATGGTTTGAACCCAGTCAGTCTTGCTTTAGTCAGGGTTAGAGATATACCTGGGTGCCAGCTGGAGTCCCACCACATTTGCTAGGTGATCTCATGCAGGCTATTTAAGTTTTCTGAGCCAAAGTTTCCTCATCTATAAAATGGGAATAGCAATTCCTAGCTTACAGGTTTTATGAGGAGTAGGAAACAGGATTGTGTCTGCAAAGTGACGGGCACTGTGTCCTCAGCACGGCAGGCATCCATCATCAGTGGAATAGGGCATTCAAATATCTTTTTTCTAAGATGCCGCCTTTTGACAACCTTCCCTATCTGCCTCACTGAGCCATAAAACATCACTATTGGAGAATGCAGCCATACCGAAGTAGGACTAAGGGCTGCCAACCCTCCTTTTGCCCCATGCTGTTGTGTCCCTAGAAGTAATGAGATGTCAACAGGTAAACACATGGAAATAACAACCTTCCAGGTCAGCTCAACAACATTTGTTGATTTTTTTTTTTTTTTTAAGGAGTCTCCCTCTTGTCACCCAGGCTGGAATGCAGTAGAGAAATCTCTGCTCACTGCAACATCCACCTCCCAGGTTTAAGCGATTCTCCTGCCTCAGCCTCCAGAGTAGCTGCGATTACATGTTCTCACTACCACATCCGGCTAATTTTTATATTTTTAGTAGAGACGGGGTTTCACCATGTTGGCCAGGCTGGTCTCAAACTCCTGACCTCAGGTGATCTGCCCACCCCAGCCTCCCAAAGTGCTGGGATTAGAGGTATGAGCTACGGTGTCAGACCCATTTGTTGATTTATTGATGTAAATGTATCATGTACCAAGAACCTTGTTAGACACTGTGGCACTGAACTCCTAAGACACAGCCCTGCCATCAAGGAGCTCACAGTCCTAAAGGCAAAAAGAAAACACACAAAAAAATCAAATACCCAGCACGTAATCTGGGTAATGTGTTGTACAAAACTGTGCAGGAGAGGCAAGTAGCTAAGTGTCTAAGCAATAATACACACAGCCATGGTACACATATTGTGTATGCTGCACACACCACTAGGCTGCACGGGGTCCTAGCCAGTCTGTGCTGGGCCTCGTGAAATTCTGTGAGTATCTACATGTCACTATGTCTTCAGCTTGAAGCTATAATTATCACTGATATTTTCCCTTTGGTGATTCTCAAATTCTGAGCTATGACAGGGCTTCCAAGCACAGAGTCTTTGTAAAGTCAAGGCAGCATCTGATGTGAAGGTAACTGTTCTGGACATAGCCTAGCGAATTCTTTACCTTGAAGGGTCCAGCATTACAAAACTCCCCAGTAGAAACCATGTGTTTAAATAAGTGGCAGCTGAGCATGGTGGCTCTTGCCTGCACTCCTAATGCTTTGGAAGGCCAGGGAAGGAGGATCACTTGAGGCCAGAAGTTTGAGATCAGCCTGAGCAATATAGCAAGACCCCATCTCTCCAAAAAACTTTTTTTAATTAACCAGGCATGGTGGTGCATGCCTGTTGTCCTAGCTGCTCAGGAGGCTGAGGCAGGAGAATCACTTGAGCTCAAGAGTTCAAGGCTGCAGTGAGCCATGATTGTACCAGTACACTCCAGCCTGGGTGTCAGAGCAAGACCCTGTTTCAAAAAAAAAAAGAAAAGAAGTATCAAGTTAGCTTTTGTATGTTGAGAGAAATCTAAAGCAGTCAATCATACTTCAGAAGAAGCCTGCATTAAGACATGATAGCAACAACTCGGGGGGTTTTTTGAGGAACAGGGAGCTGAAGGACTAGAGACAAACACTAAGGCTTCCTAAGATTACTTATCAGACAAAAGGCAAGAATAAAAGTAATTCTAATTTCCTATTTGTGCTTGAATTTTAGAAGTTAAACATTCACCAACTTTGAGCCACTCAACTCTTTATAGTAGTCAGCTATTGACACAGTATGTATAACAATGGCATATAACCAAAAAATCACAAAAATCTCAGTGACATTCAAGACACATTTATTTCTTGCTAACACAACTGTGGGGTCAACTGGAGTATCTGTTCCACATGTCACATCCTGGGACACATGATGCCACTCAAGCCACTCCAGGAGCAGTGCTACTCAGGGTATGCTCTTTTCATGAAGCAGGTGAGCACAGGAAATGTCAAGACCAACCAAGTACATACATCAGATCCTCTGCTCACATCATATCCGTCATCATCCTAAAGCCAGTCACATGGCCAAGCCCATTGTCAAGAATTAAAAAAATACACATCACCAAAAAGTGTGGGTGCATGACACTACTGGAAAGGAGGGAAGAATGGGTACTAATAACTCATCTATCACTGCTTTTAAACCATACTGAAAGGTAGGTATTATTGACTCCATTTTTTCTTGACAGTTGAGTAAATGGGGCCCTAAGAGTTTAAGTCATTCATCCAAGGGAGGACAGGTAGTATACTGCTCCAGCAGAATTAGAATTCAAATCTTCTACCTTCTGGCCATCTGTGGTTTCTACAGGGATGTAGTTAGCTTACTAACACATAACAAACACACATCTTCAATAATCACATCCCAGCCGGTCATGGTGGCTCACACCTGTAATCCCAGCACTTTGGGAGGCCAAGGCAGGAGAATCACTTGAAACCAGGAGTTCAAGACTAGCCTGGGCAAGATGGCAAAACCCCATCTCTACAAAAAAAATATTTAAAAATTAGCCTGGTGCAGTGGTGAGTGCCGGTAGTCTTAGCGACAGGGGATCAGGGGCTGAGGCAGGAGGATCACTTGAGCTAGGGAGGCTGAGCTGCACTGAGCCATGATCACTGCTCTCCAGCCTGGGTGACAGAAGGACACCCTGTCTCAAAAATAATGATAATAATAACAATCACATCCCTTAATTATGCAGATGCCAACTCCCTCCAACAGAGACCAGACCCAACACTGCCTCACTTGTTAGCACTATCACAGTGTTTAACATTAGCTTGGAACTTCTGCATGTTTTTACAAGCTGTTTTTTTGTTGTTTTTGTTTTTGTTTTTTACTATTATCACACTAATAAATTATTTACAGTGGGAAATCTAAATCAGAAAGCTCTGGCTACTTGAAAACAAACTTTATTAAAAACATCTTCCCAGTCCAACATGTAGCCTCATAGGGCACGTACAGTTTCTTTGCCTGAGCCTTAAAGATTACACCGAGTCAATGGAAGGGATGATACTGATGGCTGCGGAGTTTGGAAGAATCACGTTTGAAGCTGAAGCTTGAGCATGGGATTTTTAGTCTGCTGCTGCTGCCCTATGCAAACTAATTGCCAAATAGACCAGGCTGTAAAGCATCGTAACTAGAGGTGATGAAGGGCAAGAAGCCACCCTCATGCCAGCAGCCTCCCATATCCATTCACTTATTCACACAACAAATAGTTGTTGAAGGCCTGCACTGGGCCTGGCAGGGTGCAGGGGCTGAAATGCCTCTGGAACAAGACAGACCAGCTCTCATGGAGTTTCTACTGCAGAGAGGGGTAGATTGTTACAACAACAACAGAAAATAAAAGCAAACGGGGTGGTTTCAGATTGTACTGTAGCACGGGCCCTGTGTACATCACTTAACCCCTCTCTTAAAGTGTTCGGGTGGTAGGGCGGGGCGGGGGGGGCTGTTCTTTTTCTTTACTCCCACCCTGCGCGAACCCTCTCCTTCCCCTCCTTTGCCATCCCAGGGGCAAGCCTGATGGAGGACTGGTTAGTGACAACTCGAGCCCAGGAGGGCTGGGAGGCTGTCCCTCCTCCCCGCTCCAACACCCGCGTGCCAGGGCGGGGTCGGGGCAATGAGTGAGGCCAGGAGGCTGCGCCCCCTACTCTGCCCCGGGCCATGCGTTGCGGGCCCCAGCTCTGCAGACGCCCTTGGAGGCTGATCTGGCTGCGGAGGTGGATCCTGACAGCTCCGGGGCAGGAGGGGGCTGGCCTTGCTCCCCACGCCCACCTAGCAGGGACCCGGACGCAGCTCCGGTCCGCTCCCTGCACCTCGCCAGCGCAGGAGCTTCAGGAGACCCGGGCACAGCTTTCCGAGCACAGTGCCTCGCTTAGGGGCCGCGGTGCCCTGGGGGAGGGGAGGGCGCGTGGAGGTGGCAGGGGCGGCTAGGGACCCGGCCTGGCAGCGCCGCTTCAAGTTTCCACCCGCGCGGTTGTGCAACCGGGAGGGGAGCTAGAGCCGCGGAAAACAAGCCGAGCCCATAAACAAAGCCACGTGGCCTCCGGGCCGGGGGGCCGGGCTAAGAGCAGGCGGCTCTTCCGGCAACAAAGAGCTGCGGCCGGCGGCGGGGATAAATACTGCGGCCGCGACAGCCGCGCAGCACTCCCGGAGCCTGCAGCGCCAGAGACCCTCCCCGCGCCCGCAGCCCCGCAGGGTGCCCTGCGCCGTTCCGCCGCCCCGCCGCCCCCACGCCAGTTCCCGGCCGCCGCCCCCGTCGCGGGCCCCTCACCCCGAGCATCCGCCCCGGGTGGCGCGTCCCCGAGGCCGCCAGGCCGGTCCTGTCTCCCAGTCCGCCCCGTCCGCTTGCGGTGCCATGCCATTCCTCGGCCAGGACTGGCGGTCCCCTGGGCAGAGCTGGGTGAAGACGGCCGACGGCTGGAAGCGCTTCCTGGATGAGAAGAGCGGCAGCTTCGTGAGCGACCTCAGCAGGTGAGGGCACCCGCCACCAACTTCCAGCCCCGCGACACTGACCGGGACTGGTCTTGGGGGCGCAGGGACGGCGAATGCGGGGCAGGCGGGGCTGGAGCGGGTTGCGAAGGGAGACCCTGACCGGGAGGGTGGGACTGCGGTGCCCGCATTTCTGCAGAGGTCTCCAGAGCACGGGAGACTGGGAATCCGGTTTCTCTTATTGTTCAAGGTCATTGTCCCCAAGTGGACACGACTCCTTACGGAACACCTGGTCCCTCTATCTGACGACATTCGCGGGTAGTGCCCCCGAACGCTCGCTCGGACTTAATCACACCGCTTTAGTGGTCCCTGCTTTAAGGACCCCAGAGTCGCTCACTTTGCGCGTGTGGGGGCTCGGGCGAGTGGGCTGAGCCCCTTCACCTCCTCGTCGCCGGACTCCCAGCGCCCAAGCGCAGTGGACGTGACCGGTGACCGGATGCGATGCGGATCCCACCTGGAGCGCTTCCAGGCCCTGCCCAGGCACGGGCAACCACGAAGTGGCAGGGAGGATGAGTAACCAGGAAGGGACAGCCAGATGGTCCCTGGGGAGCTGCTTACTGGGCGGGCTGCGGAGGTGCAGAGGGGGCTGTGGGCAGGAGATGAAACTCAACAGCGCTCTGCTTCTGGGAGGACAGGGCTCTTGCACCTGTTACCCGGTGGCCCTCTCGGTCGGTCTGCTTTGTATAGAGCGTGCACTGTTTCCAGGGGTGCCTGTCAGCCGCGGAAAGCCTGCCTGGCCTGGGCTCTGGATTGGAGGTCTCATTTGAGCTCCGTGATCTGGTGGGAAACTTGAGGTCTGCTGCGCTCCCCTCTCAGCTTGGCTAACTACGCCAGCGCCCGCTAATAAGTGAGGTTGCCTAGAATTTGTCAGCCCCTGACCTCGACAGTTGACTTTCAGAGACTCTTACCATTTAGCCCGGTGAGGGGGGGCCATGAAAGTGATTCCAAAAAGGACTGGTGCAGCCAGGGTCACCCCTGGGTGCCTTTTCCTGCCGCCTTCGGTTAAAACTATGGGCCCCTGCACCCTTAAATTGACTTCGATGGAGAATTCTGTTTCTAGGCCAGGTTCCCACTTCCTGAGATTTACCCACTAGTTGCTTGGATAAAGCACTGGCAATAAATTTTGAGAAAACTATCAAGAAAATGTGGTTATTTTGGCAGCTCGGCCTCCCGTGCCTCCCATTTGTTTGCGATATGTAATGCGTCAAATTCCCATTGTCTCACAAAGTAAAGAAAGACATTATTTAATCCTGGAGTCTGTCCGGAGAGACCTGAACTACTAACCGCCAGCATGTAACCATTTATGTTGAAGTTACTTGGAGGCAGTCCCAGAGGAGTTTAGGGATCACCATAAGGAAACCTTATTTACACCAAATCAGGCGATTTATTTACAGAAAAGTAAGACTAACTGCTATTGACAGACTGTCTTTTATTGACTGGAGTTACCAATTATGCCTGAATTATTCCCTCAACAAAATGGGAAACTTGCTTTCTCCTTGTTCCTAAGGACAATGATCTAATATTTTGGTACTTTATTTCTGTATACAAGTTCAAGTTCTTTCTATAAAGGTGCAGAAAGGGTCTGAAGAGCCATGTTAGAGCTGCTCACCCAAATATAATTGCAGGCTGCTCCTCAGCGGGGAGCAGGTGATTGGGTTCAGCAGGGGAGGATTTAAAATGTAGGGTCGTATTCATACTCACCTACCCGGGAGGCTGAGGTGGGAGGGCCGCTTGTACCCAGAAGTTCAAGGTTGCAGTGAGTCATGACTGTGCCACTGCGCTCCAGCCTAGGCCACAGAAAGAGACTCTATCTCTAAAAATAACTAAAAATTTAAAATTTATTTTAAAATACCCTATACCAGCATCAGAAGATAAACTGGTGTCAATCTCCTTTAGAAATAAATAGTGATATCTCTGTCTTCACAGTATAGAAGACCTGAAGATGGTTTTAACTTACCACAAAAGCTTAGACTAGGCTGGGATCAGGTGGCTTCCTGCACAGCCCACCTCCCGTGTCCCGTTCACTCTTTCTTTCCTCCCGTTTCACACCTGAGCTGGAGCTGTCACATCCGTCATCATTACCGCAAATAGTCATTGATATTCTGACCACCTGTGGTCCTCTGAGTCAGCGTTTAAGAATCATTTGGTAGCCTCTTAACAAAGCAGCTGGCTGTTTGTTTGCAGGGTATTTTTTTTTTCCAGCAACTGTAAACAATCCCTTCCCTACTTAGCATGAAAAGCCTGCCAACTACTTAAAAGCAGTTGGCTTTCTGTGGTCTGGGTTTGTCATCTCAGATATCCTCCCTGTTTTTGGTCTTGGTGATGTTCCCCTGTGAAGTCAGGTTTGGGCTGCGTGCCTGGCGACACAGGTGAAGCTGAATGCCTCTCCTGTCCTGAGAAAACAAAAGGTGGGTCCTTAAGCAGGGAGGGACCCTGAAACAGGACTGCAGAGACATGGTAGACCGACGTCTCTGATTCCATGGACCATTCTGTGAGCCGCCCAAACAAGAGCAAGGGATGAATGAAGGATGCGTTGGGTGGTTTTCAGCCTGGGGCTGTTGTTTCGTGTTGACCAAGGCTTGTCCACACAGCATACCCATTCTGGACTCAGCTGGTCATCCTCTCTGTGGCCCAGGACTCCGTCCTCCTCCAATGTATGTTACAAATCCAGTCTCAGCCATGTGCCCAGGAGTGAGATCACGGGACGATTTAAGATAAGCTTAAAGCAAGACCCCTTCTCAAAAATGTTGACATTATATAAAATACAAGGGGAATGGCAAGTGTTAAATATGGTGGTGCAGATTAAAAATGCAAGGAAAGAGCTCGGCGTGAATGGAGATGATCCAAGAATGCTTCAAGGAAGTGGTGGTTCAGGCGCCCGCACAGCCCTCGTCAGCAACCACCCCCTCGCCGCCCACCCCCAGGATGAGTAACCTAGACTGTCTGAGCCTCTGCCACTCTTCTGTAAGCCTACACTTCTGTCATTGAAAACTGACTCAAATCTTGCTTTACTGTATAGCTAAGGCTGGACCCAAGCAGGAAGTTTACCTTGGTGCCTGGGTAAAAATAATAGTTAAGATTTTATAAGAGCTTACTGTGTGCCAGACACTGCTCTATGAGCGTTATACACTAGGCTGTTTGTTTCACCAGAGCATTCTGGGTACTAACCTTGTGAGTCTGGCGATCTAGAGATGCATGAGTCAATTAGCATAGAAATCTCACTGGCTTTAATCAAGGCTCTATAACTACAATTAAACCTCTTGGGGCACGTCACAGGTTTCTTAAATAGTTTTTATTGCAAATGAAATGAGAAATAGGGCTCTTTTTTTTTTTCATTCCCTTTATCTGCTGCCAAAACCATCTTATTTATGGTCTTATTTTGAAATTTTTTAAAAGTTGCCTTTAAGTGTCTTGATATGTGGTAATGTGGGGCTGGGGTTTTTTACTTATTCTAGACCTGCACCTATAAAAATCAAGATTAGTAAAAAGTGTCACAAAATAGCCATTTGCTGGCTAGTATTGAATTTTGTGAAGAAAGCAGCCGCGTTGAGATGGTTTTGCTTATTAA